GAGGAAAGGCTGAGGGAGCTGGGCTTGTTCAGCCTGGAGAAGAGAAGACTGAGAGGGGACCTCATCAACACATACAAATATCTCAAGGGTGGATGTCACGAGGACGGAGCCAGACTCTTCTCAGTGGTGTCCAGCGACAGGACAAGGGGCAATGGGCACAAACTGAAGCAGGAGAGGTTTCAGTTGAATATGAGGAAGAACTTCTTGACTTCGAGGGTGGAGCCCTGGCCCAGGCTGCCCAGGGGGGCTGTGGAGTCTCCTTCTCTGGAGATATTCAACCCCCGCCTGGACGAAGTTCTGTGTAACATGCTCTAGGAGAACCTGCTTTAGCAGCGGGGTTGGACTGGATGATCTCCCAAGGTCGCTTCCAACCCTTATGATTCTGTGATTCTGTGACCTGTTGGAGTGGGGCCAGAGGAGGGCTACTAAAATGATCCGAGGGCTGGAGCCCCTCTCCTAGGAGGCCAGGCTGGGAGAGTTGGGCTTGTTCAGCCTGGAGAAGAGAAGGCTGCGGGCAGAGCTGAGTGCGGCCGTTCAGGGCTTAAAGGGGGCCCATAGGAAAGATGGGGACAATCTTTTTAGTAGGGCCAGCTGTGACAGGACAAGGGGGGGTGGCTTTAAACTAAAACAGGGTAGGTTTAGACTGGATCTAAGGAAGAAATTCTTTACAGTGAGGGTGGTGAAACCCTGGCAGGGGTTGCCCAGAGAGGGGGTGGAGGCCCCATCCCTGGGAACATTCAAGGCCAGGTTGGACGGGGCTGTGAGCAACCTGATCTGATTAGCGGTGTCCCTGCTCCTGCAGGGGGGTTGGGCTGGGTGACCTCTAGGGGTCCCTTCCAACCCAAAACATTCTGTGATTTAAGTGTTTACTTTGATGACTAGATGAGGTTTTTGGATTCTTATCTATTAGGTGATTATCCTGAGCATTTACGTATACTCCAAGTCCTCCTTCAATCTCAGCACTGTACCTGCATGCACTTCTCCAAATGGATGCTTTGAGTCTTTGCAAGGTGGAGAAGCTTTGCTGTTTTACAGGTGAAGGTCTGAGACACAGGGAGAACACATAGCTTGTCAAAAAGCAAACAGGAAAGCTGTCTCAGAGATGGGCTAAACTAAAGGGGATGTTTTCATTAAGCTTCAGGCAACGAGCAGCCAGACTACAAAACCCACACCCAGTCTGCTGGTGTTCTTCCACGTTTGCTGTTTTAACTTTGGGGAAGGAGTTTTATCCCCTGCTTTTTTGTATTACAGTAAGGTAAGCTGCTTCACTTCTTTACTCTGCTTCCTTCCACTGTGGAATAACTTACCCATGCTGAGCAGGCAGGACAAAACTGTGTAAAGACCTTTGACAGCCAGAACAGAAACAAGGACATCTGAGTACAAGACACAAAGACCAACTCAGCAGAGCTCTCACTAGGACACCGAATGGCACATGCGTTCTTAGTTTCCAGTATCGCATGGGGTTCACTACTCTTCATAGTGTTTTGCAGGCCTTAGGTAGGACGCACTATGCAAACCCCAGGCTTTATTACGTACACCAGTGTGAACTATTGAAAGAGGAGGTCTTCGCTGGCAAAATACTGTAAATATTCTATCAAAAGGATAGAAAACTGTGCAGATGCAGCCTAGCACGAAAACTGCATTTGGAAATCTGGCAAGATGCCTATGAAATGCATATAATAGTTTTTGCAGATCTGATCCAAGTGACAGTTTTATATCAAAACCACGGAGCAGATCAACAACATCTAATTTCTGCTCTTTGAAAACTCCAGATCTAGCACTTCAAATCCAGACAATATAATGGTACTGATTGATGGCCCTTACCATCCTTACCAGTAAAAGTGCCATGTTGAGAACTTCCTGGAGCAATAAAATTAAGAGGGACATGAGGGGTGCCGCTGACATACTCATGTGGAAAAGGACTATTGGGCCCGGCGTAACGCTGGCAAACCACTCGCTGGCAAACAAAGTACATTCCTCCCATGACAAAAAGTGACAGTATTATACCGATGACAGGACCGATGGCGCTACTGTGTGGCTGCGACTCATCTGAGGCTGGCTTTGCTTTTTCTGGAAAGAGAGGAGAAAAAAAAAGTAGTTCGTTAAACATGGGGAGATATATCTGTTGCTGTCCTGGAGCTTGTGCAACAAATCAGTCAGCTCAGAGTCATTCACAGTCTCTTTGAAAGTATCTGCATCAAACTCAGGCATCTGTAATGCCATATATTGCGATTCAATGCAGACGACTTCATGCTTCCTCTCCCCCTCCATGTACATAACATAGTATTAGCAAAGTGCTCTCCTTCCTCTCTAGCAATTCATCTCCTAACAGGATTACTTAACACCTTGATATAACAACAGCCTAGAAAGTTTCCTTTTCTTCCCCCTCCCCCCAGGTCTCCACGTTAAAGATATAGGACACTTATGAAGTCCTTAATCAGAGAGGAATCTGCTCTCTCAAAAGCTGTTTGGGCTAGCAAAACCGTTAAAAAATTAAAAGATTTTACTAGTAGGGAAGCTACCATATGTATTAAGCAGTGGATGTCTTCCTAGATAATATAGGCCTTAAAATAGAGTACTTTTCCTTCCCAAAATATGACTTGCTTTCTAAAAAAACCCTTACAAATCGGAAAGAAAACACAATCCAGAATATCTCAAATACTTTCTACTTCTTACTTCTTTTCCCCCTATATAGACCAATGTTAAATAATAAAAAGTGCTGCAGTATTTGAGATGAACTACGTATCATATCGCCCCCGATTACGGGTAACGCATTCAAAATTCTTGCCAAATATACCTGACACCTCTATGTTTTTTGCATATGTGACATTCTTCAGTGAGAGCAATTTCTTCCATGTGATTCACACATTTGTCATTTTATGTTTTTACACACACAAACATATATATTCATAAAGTGAAAAAAATAAAAATAAGCTTGGCCAAAGCCTATCAATGTTACATGTTCAGCTCAAACGATAGAGCCCTTAATGAAGTTCTAGAAGTGAAATGGCTCATGTAAGACTCAAGCCTTCGATTCATGAAATTTTTCTCTAGTGGTTCTGGTTTCATTGCCTTCAGTGGAAGCAAATGAAAACCAACTGGAATTTGAGAAGGAAGATACAGGAAATACAAAGATTTACCAATAAACTCTGTCTTAAAGTCTTTATCTACTTTTCACACTTCTTAGTGCATGACAGCTTTTATGTCAGCTAAGGCCCTAACGTTCAAGTAGTCTGATTAGTTCAGATACGATACCAGAAAAAAGCAAAGCCAAAATTAAATCATGTTCCCAAACTAGCTAATTTAAACCACAAAATTCTCATTTTGGTTAAACCTAGCTTCTTTTGAACGCAAGATCCTTATTTAGAAAGTGACCATCATTTTTATTTCCTACTTGAGTTCTTTCCCTCGGTCAAGCAAGAAAACACGGACTGCTCCGTTGCACAAAGAAACTCCAGAGGACGCTGTCTTATGTCGACATAGAGACACATTTAAATCAGTTAAGACCTCATTGCAGGACTGGACCCAAAGTGCAAACAGGAAACAGCTGCATTAACTTGGCAGCACAAAAGTTTGCTAAGTGCACAAAGAAAATAAACTAAAAAAAAGGAAGAAGTGGCTTTACATTACCAGGGAACTGGGGGGAACTGGGCGAGAGCTGAGAGATAAAGGGAAGATGTGGGAGAAGCACGAAAAGCATGTTTGGTCTGAAATTTCCAACAGGAGAGCAAAATGGTTTTTGTCACCATTCTTTTAGCCTGGCTCCTTTCACCACTCTTGCTTACGTTTTTCTTTGCTGTACCTCCCATGAGGATGGAAGGAAGAAACAAGGTTACCCTGACCAGACCTGGTGACCCCTCCTCTCATCCCAGCAGTGGCACAGCTTCTGACAACTGGTGCTTCACAAGACTAAGATATTAAAAGCCTTGCAATTAGCCCATATCCTATAGGCAACATTATTAAGCAATGCGCAGCAATGTCTACACAAACCCAACACCAGGTATTTGTTCCGAATGAATTACTGACAGATCAGCACATCTCTTTTGTTCTACAAATGCTACGCTCCAACTATTTGCTAAACCACTTGTGAGCTACTAAATGCTCCCTTGCTCAAAACAATCACGCACTAGTCACCCCGACGCTCCAACTATTTGCTAAACCACTTGTGAGCTGCTAAATGCTCCCTTTACCTGGCTCCATTGCTCAAAACAATCATGCACTAGTCACCCCAGTGGTGCAAAAAAGAAGAAAATTGCAAGCAGACCACAAGTAAGTGAATTTTACTGTCCACTTTGGACTGCATAAAACCAGACCCCACTAAGGACTAACGCAGCAACTGCCACCAGTGTGCCTGTAACTTGCATATACCTACTGCCACGGCAATTCAAAGTAACATTTTCCCAGAAAAATCAAGGTCTCTCCTTATATTCTTTTCCTACCTGCACTGTGAGATACCAGCTTATGGTCTCTTGTGGACACTCGCTCATTGCATGCTAGTTCCTCCACACAACTAGCCTCCGGCTTGATCCTGTAATTGCAGTGAATAGGGCTGTGCATTCTCAAAAGCCACGCCAAGCTTAGCAGCAGTTCTGCAAGTTCCAATACACTGAGCACAGCAGAATCAGGTCCCCCTGCATATAGATCTGATGGGCCATCTAAAGAAGGCAGCGTTGTATCCCATACAGCATTTTAGAACTAGCTTGAAGCAACATTGGGATTTCAGTCCATCTTCACTACTGATGTTCCTGCATTAGACTTGCTGCACCACGACACAAGGTCAGACTCTTTTGCCACACAAACCAATGGAAGAGCGTGTGACTGTATTTAGCAGCCAAATACAACCATGGGAGTACTTGGCCAAGATGCACTGGACTTTCCTGAGAGAACATTACTGTGCAAAGACTGCGGCTCTGCATAGGGATGTAGGACATTACACCTGAACACAGCACTAGAATCTCAAGGGAAGACATCTCACCACACATAAGCTCATCGGAACCATCAATGCAATCTGGAAAGGAGTCACACTGTTGCTTCAGGAGGATGCACTGGCCGCTTGCACATCGGAACTGATTGGGTAGACAAATTGCTGCACAGAAAGAAAGAAAACGTTAAGTACTACTTGCATGGGAGCATCTGAGCACCTTAAGAAAACCAAAAGAAGTGAGACATGAAGCCACAGTGCATTGCATATTATGACCAGGTAGGCACCAGAACACCTGCTTTGCTGCTGTGGGTAAAATGCAAGTCTGCATTTCTCTGATTCTTCCTTCTTGTTGTTACACATCCTACTCGGTGGGGCTAAAATAAAATTCTGATCCCAGTAACTCCCCATCCTTTGTCAAATCAGTCCCGGTGGGGAAAAACTGGGATCGAATCAGCAAGAATCTCTTACAATAACTAACAAAATGTAGCTGATCACCTGACATGTTAACAAAATGTAGTAACTCAGCATATTATAAACCCTTAGAAAGTCTATACTACTGTATGTAGCCCTGTATAATATAACCTTGCTAAATAACTACAAAATTTCTTTTCTGTATTAAGAAGCCTCTGTTTCAGCAAAAAGGACTGGTTAATTAACTTTGGAATCTCTGCCAAGTCAAAGCATATTAAATGATCAGTAAAGAGACTGTCTTATGAGGGCTAGTAACCAGCAATCCTGGAAGGGTCACAGCATAGGTTGTTCCATGCAAAAAGAAGAAAGGTTCTTTTATTCTGGAGGAGAAGATCCACATTCATGTTTTGGATCATAGCACTGGTGGTGGTGTGAGTTGGACCTCCTGAATAGCCATACTTACTTTGCTGTGGCCCAGTTTGCAGAGCAGTTCTTGTGTAAGAGAACTAAATTATCTATGGAGAAAAAAACTTAGCTAGAAGCTCCAAATGCATCAGCTCCTGATTTGGACTGTTATGCCCCCAGTAAGTTGGATGCAGCTCTGCAAGGTCCTACAGTGTATATAAAGCAGATAGGTGTTGATAGAAGGCTCTAAAGCATCTAGAGCTCCCACCACACCACTTAGGTGCCTGCACTATGAGAAGGGCCAAATTCTGTGTGCACCTTCCCATTTGCCAACGACTGCCAGGCCTCTACTTATTGTTGCAGCTGTCTGCTGCTCCTACTATCCTTTCCCTTCTTATGTTCTCTATCTTCTGTTGCTGTCCTGCTTTGTTGGACTCCTTGTTTCTTCTTGATCCAACAATGGATCACTGAACCTGTGTTGTACAGGAGATGAAGTTTCTTCAGTGGCATGGTAATCCAGCTGCAGTATCAAAAGACTGTTAACCTTGTGACTTCCACTGGGTATAAGAGGACTAGCTAGCAGTGCCACAATTCATTCAAGAAGATGAAAGCCACCATCTTGAAGATGTGGGACAAGAACCACAAACACACCCAGGGACATTTCTTTGGCCACTTCCAGTCATAGTCTGCAACCCCTGTGCCAGTGCTTCAGATTCAACTCTCCAAAAGCATGCCTTGGGAAACCAGGGGACAGGAGAGGCGGCTTCTGATAGAATAAAGGCATTGAACTCGGACCTATGAAAAGGCAGTGATTATCACCAGAAGGCAATTCCACTGATGCATGAGGTATGGTACAAAAGTTGTGTTAAGTCCAGTTAGCCTTACCACCTTAATAAACCTCATATAAAGAACAAGAATGTAGTTTAGGCCACCTTCCATTCCTCAACCACAGTAGGTTATAGGCTGACACACACTAAGGGATGAGAAAGGCATATCGGTTTTATTTTAGTTAGGAACCCATGCAGGCCTTGGCCTGTAAAGATTCCTGAGGACTGCAGAGGCCACATTTGCCACATCTCCCTCAGTCTAGCCTTGGACACTGAGTATATTCATAGGCCTTCTAGGGAAGTGTCAGACAACATCCTGGACAAAAGTCTAGTCTTGGTTGGCCCAAGTGCTTGCAGTGGACTAGGCGTACAACCACAGAGCACTCAACTGCTGAAGAAATGGGTCTTCAACTATTCTAGACCAGATGGTAAGGCTCATCTGTGCCCTCAAAGGGGCTGTGCATGGCAAGGCAGGTGCCTACAGTTCATATGGTGCCAGGAACATTGTCATTAAGTTTGCTTAGCAGTGCACACCGCTTCACAGGGAGATGACCAAATGCACGTTCCGCTTTGACTCTGTGTGTGGGTAATGGCACTGTTACACTGCATATGGGCTCCATGGTGGACAAAGCAGAGCCTCTTGATGAAGCAGTACAGGTAGTAAGTACCACCTCCAACAAGAAAGACAGGAACTTGGACATGGCTGATCCTCTTCTTGTTTGTAAAGAAGGTACTGGTGTTCTGGTGTCCAGGCTCAGAGTTACACTGCAAATGCACAGAATTGCTCATTGAAATGTCCATGAAAATCTGTCCTGCTGGCCCAGTGGCAATGGTTAGCCACTGAGTGGGTAGAGCCAAGGGTCCTGAGGCTTCACAGGGCAAGAGCCACGCTACTGAATGGGCTCCTAAACTATTGTACAGCAATAAGAAGCCGTGGTGCTAGTTCATAGTCAAGTGTCTGTTTCAGCTGTGCCTTGATACTAGACACAGAATATGCAAGTTTGCCCATCAACCAAAGGATGGAGCAAATGCACCCATCCATGCTTCTCTCTTGGACCCAGATGCTACAAAGCAGCTGCAGCAGCAAGCATTCCTGGGAAGTCATTCCACAGACTCTTATAGAAGGTTACATCCAGGATTATAAGAATCAGCTTGCTAAGAGTGAACTCTCAGAGTAGCCAATTCAGCCACAGGATTTAGTCCATCTCTTCCTCCCTGTAGCACCTTGCAGCAACCACTGTCTGAAGGTGAAGTGGACACCGTGGAAACAGTGCAAGCCAAAATGTTAATTATGCAGGAAAAAAAAAGCATGTGGTAAGTTCTGCTGGTTTCTTTCCTGTTTTCATTCTGAATATGGATTAAAGATACTCTCCCCAACCTCCCTCACATCTATAGTTACGTGGTCAGCAATTTATGCAGCTACAGAGAAGTTTAATTTGAGCAACAGAGTAAGAAAGAGGGAAAGAAAAACAGAATCAGTGGATAGTTTAGTTAGGCTTATGATTAGGGCTAGTTTTCCCCATCCGAAACTAAAAATCATATACATACATCAAGAATAGTTAGAATCCCAAATGGATGCTTGTGTTAGAACCATGAGTTCAGGAAAATCAATCTTACTGTCACAATCCACTTCATCAGATTTATCTTGGCAGTCAATTTCTCCATTACACCGCAAGTGTGCATCGATACACTGTCCTTTCTCACACTGGAACTGGGATGCAGAGCATATAGGGCAGCTATCTTCATCACTCTGGTCATCACACTCTGGAAATCCGTCGCACCGCCATGCCATTGGGATACAGTCAATCTCTCCAGTTGCACAGGTAAACTGGTCTGGGGAACAAGTTGGAGGTTCTGGAGAAAGAGAAAACCAATCACATTTGTATATTCAAATTTAGGCCTTACAACAGAGTAAAAACGTGACGGACTTTTTCAAGAAAAACACATTTATGCCTGGACTGAAGTTCTTCTGTGAAAATATTAAGATTCCAGCAAAGACGAAAACATGATTTTGCATAGGGAATGAAATTTTGCCAATTTCATAACAAAAACTGGATGCATGCTGAGTGAAGAAGCTTGCTGCAGCAGCGAAGGACAGGAACTACAAATACTTACTTTGGCTCTAACAGCCAACTTTTGGAAGACACCGTCATACACATACATTCAAATGAATACTCAATTTCTGATTGCAAACCACATTCTACACAGTTTTAATCCCTGCAATTAGATTAGCCTGGATCTTCATTAAAAAACCTGGCACATTGGGTTAATTGGCAATGAATACACATAAAACACATAACATCTGCTTCTACAACATCTTTTTCTCTATTTTTCCAGTGGTTTCTTCACAAACAAATTTCTGAGTCAGGTATGAATTGAAAGATATGAATGGAGAAAAAATATCTGTAGGCCTGTTAAACATTAGCTTAAGTCCTGGAAAGCCTCTGGGCTACAGGTCAGTGGAGGTTCAGAGAGTAGTCCGAGGAGCACTGTAGGTCGGCCCTGAACTTTCATTCTTTCGCTATGGTCAGAGACAGAACACTGGACCTTGTACACAGCCATTTTTATGTTTGTTGGACCTAAGAAAGCTGGGACTTCCTTCAAATTTGACTTTTCATGGATCCCAAGATCCTGGCATCAATCCATTCCACATCCATACCGTTGCTCAGGTTGCAGTCACATGCTGATAGCATTAAGCAGCAGCTACAACTTCACGTAGAGATGCAACTGTTTTGCTGTAATAAGGCATTCATAGTTGCTTTCTCCAGAATCTCGAAAGACAAGGACAATCCAGATCAAGAACCTATTGCAAAAAGCGCTCCCAATTCTTACTTACAGCAAATTAGCACAAACTTTTTCACCATTAGTATCAATGAAAGGAACAGTCAACGTGTAAGTCTCTTCAGTTGCTATCAGTAGTGGTTAGTTATGTTCAAAATGAGGGGGCCATCTCAAAACACCGCTGCAGCAAGCAGATACATTTCCACTGATTTCAAAAGTTGCTGGCTCAAATCTCCGTGACTCAATTAAATCAGTTAACAGAGGCAATCGCTAGTGCCCACAGCTGCTGTTGCCAGCTAACGCTCTATGAAGATGCTCTGCCGCTTGGATTAACAGAGTACCACCTCATACCCTGTCTATGACAATGAGATGGAGCAAGCTGGAGGTATGCTCTGACACTGGAAAGTAACACTCCTCTGGAAACCCAGTGAGCTTTTATTAACGTTCAGGCTCAGGAATTGACCTCACAAAGAACCCAGCATAAGGAAAGCTTCTCAGCTGTAACCAATGACAAGACTTTTGTACGAGTATTTTTCTCCTGAGGGTAGTGTTACAGATCCCAGAGCTAAGCAACTACGTGCAAACCATTTTTAAAGAGCTGCTGTCCTTCCTTCATTAGGGAGTAATGTTCAAGAATGAGACTCAAGTATAATCAAGAGCTTGAAATACAAAATGCAAATAACAATCCAAATGCATTTGATTTTTGAAAATTTTATGATTTTTAAGTTTCTGATTTATGATTATTTGGTGTAGCAATGAGAATTACAAATGTAGCCAGTGACCTGACAGCTGTAGGTAAGATAAAGGTGCCAGATACACATATTAAGATAATTCTTGAACTGAATTTTGATATGAGTGTGCTGCTTAGATAATTCAACAGATTACTACTTCTGCATTTAGAGCCACATTTAATGCTGCATGATGGTTGCACTTGACAGGTACAAGCTTTCATTTAAAAACTTGTCAAGAGCATTCATGAGGGTACATGGACAAGTGTTCTCCAGCTGAAACAGCCATTAATCTATTTTGAAACACTGGCTATTGGCTGCTGCCACGGCAGACAAGGTAGGTTAAGAAGTTGTTGCAGGCTTAGTGAAGGATTAGAATAAAATAAATCAGACACTGAAACGGAGGCCCCTTAATTTTTAAATTTATAGCTGAAGACAACAAAGGAGTGGGATGTAAGAATCTTGTGTTGGCCGTGTTGTGCAACAACGGTACAGCAAGAAATATAAGCAGACTGATTCCCTGCTGCCCCCCTGGCCCCGATGTAACCACCACTACTCTAAAACCACATAGAGTGTTGTGGTCATGGGAAAGAAAACAGTTTATAATGGAAATGACTGTCCCATGGGATAGTCAGAGATAGAGTTCAGCCAGAAAATGAAATCCACAGCAAAATGAATACATAAAAAGAAGTCAAGAGGACTAACAGAGCCAAATAATTTAAGATATGATGCCTCCCCAAAAGAACCAATGTTTTTTTTTTGTTTTGTTTTTAATGCCCTCTGCAAATGTAATGTAAGAATTTTCAAAAATCCTGGGATTGTGAAAGGAAAGTCTACCATGTGGAAAGAGGACAGCTACCTAAATTAAAAAGGATTGCAGTGGAGCTTTTGGCCTACATTTCATAACTAGACAGTACAGTGTTTCATGTTATGAGGCCAAATTCATCTGAATCATTGTATCAGACTGTAGGAATCATATACACAATTTCTGCTGCTATCATGGCTTGATGCAACATCATCTTACAAGCATTTGTTTAAAGCACAAACCTGTCACATCATACAGTTATAAAAACCTCAGTAGAATATGCAAGTATTTTAAGGTCAAACAGGCATATTCTGCTCACAACGAAAAGTCACATGTGCCCAAAAACTGAAGCAGAAAACAGCCGGTAGAAGAATTAAATGTCAATTTAACACATGATGCAACACACCATGTGTAGGAAAACACTGTGTGTAAATCCACATTTTGGATTGGAATGCAACCTCAACCCCCATCTTTTTTGCTATAAGCTGCTTAGCAGTACTGTTAAACATAACTCACCTCCACAGGTTAAGAGATTCTGTAGAAGCACAAGGTGCTCGGGGCATGAACATCTTGGAGTCCCATCCCCTTTGGCGATGCAGATGTGCGAACACCCACCATTGTTACGGGAGCACGGGTGCACAGCTGGAGAAACACATAGAAAAGAGTATTAGCATACAGAAATCATAACTACTCCTAGATAGGGCAAACTCACAAAACCACTCGCAAACTATTTCTGTTTGAGTAATCAAGATTTCATACAAATTAATTAGAAGATAAATGCAGGATTTTTCAGTTCAGTGCTCAAAAGCTGACTTACTGCTTCATGAGGACTACATTTCTCCCAGTCACAGTGATGTGGAGACCTTTAAAGGACTTCTAAAAAGAATTTGGGAGCTCAGGTGAAAAGGAGTGAGAAGGCAAATGCAATCTTTTCCTTTTTAAAGGTTTTTTTTCCAAGCTTTATTACATGGTTGTACTTAAAAAATTAACAACCATAATTATAAGTAGCTTTTAGAATGAATTCAATACTACATCAGCTTGTACAAAGCAGGTAACTAAGTGCCACGAAATCACATATTCTAGCTATACAAAATTAGTCTTCTGGACAAGAATGAGGAACTTGTTTCTCCTCCTCTTCTAGGATTCCAACTGGCCAAGCTGAAAGCACTCCATGGCTTACTTGAAGCCCACTGGGCAACTTATTACAATATTCATCTGGATGTGGACTTTGGGAGACAGTGGCCAAGAGTGAGAGACATCAGATATTGAAATAAACTCACAGAATTCCTCCATATCGATCTCTTCTACGGCATGAATGCCTGTTAGGTGAGCAATTCTGCCTTGAATTCTAGTCCTTTTGTATCCGTTCATTTTCTCCACTCTCTCAATCATCTGCTGCTGACGATCAATCCAATACAAGTGATTCCCCAGCACAGTGAGTCCCATCGGCTGAAGGATGTTGGAGTCCTCCAGGGTTACACGGTTAGCACCTGAGATCAACAAAAACAAAGACTAGTTTTACACCAGTCAACTTTTAACTCATTTCTTAAAAAAAAGAAGAAAATTATCAAAACCAACCCAAACCCTACCCAACCCTGGAAACACCTATACGGTCATTGGCTTTATTTGCCTATGCAGGGCTCTGCTTGTTCAGCCTCATCCCAGGTGAATGCAACCACTTGCCATGTCATGAGGGCAAGCAGATAGAGTATGACGCACAGCTCATCCTTGCATACACTGGCAGCCGTGATCAGCCTCAAGCCTGACGTGCTCTGTTTGGTGTAACTGTGTGCAGTCCCTAAAAGCCTGTGCCACCGATACAGGCTCAGCTCTCGGGCCAAAATTTTTACAATACGCACGCCGAGCGGTACACTATGTTGGAGTCTACGAGCAAGAGCGAAATAAACCCAATGAGCTTCACTGCCACTACTCACATAAAACACATCCACAACCCCTGTCACATGCTATATCACAACCACAGAGATATGTTCACAGAAGAAAAGCTCATATTCTAACAGCCACACTTGTCTTCACCTCTTTTTTCTTCAGTAACCAACCAGAAAACCCAAACTCCAAGCAACACCATGAAATGCTCAGGTCTTCTGCTCTACAGAAATGTGTAAAAATCAAGTTAAGTAAAAATGCATTTATGACTGCTTTTAACCTTAATTGCTTGCAGGCTTCTACTGTGTGCTGCCCTACGCTTAGTGGTGTTTAATTGTTGCTTTTGTTATGCTTGTCTATCACAGAATCACAGAATCGCAAGGGTTGGAAGGGACCTCGGGAGATCATCTAGTCCAACCCCCCTGCTAAAGCAGGTTCTCCTAGAGCATTCTACACAGGACTTCATCCAGGCGGGCTTTGAATATCTCCAGAGAAGGAGACTCCACAACCTCCCTGGGCAGCCTGTTCCAGTGCTCTGTCACCCTTAGAGTAAAGAAGTTTTTCCTCATATTCAACTGAAACCTCTTATGTTTCAGTTTGCACCCATTGCCCCTAGTCCTGTCGCTGGACACCACTGCAAACAGACTGCTTCCATCCTTGTGACTTCCGCCCTTAAGATATTTGTATGTGTTGATGAGATCCCCTCTCAGCCTTCTCTTCTTCAGGCTGAACAAGCCCAACTCTCTCAGCCTTTCCTCGTAGGGGAGGTGCTCCAGTCCCTTTATCATCCTAGTTGCCCTCCTCTGGACTCTTTCTAGGAGTTCCTCATCTTTCTTGAACTGGGGAGCCCAGAACTGGACCCAGTGCTCCAGGTGGGGTCTCACCAGGGCAGAGTAGAGGGGAAGGCTAACCTCCCTTGACCTGCTGGCCACACTCCTCTTAATACACCCCAGGATACCATTGGCCTTCTTGGCAACAAGGGCACATTGCTGGCTCATGGTCAGCTTGTCGTCTACCAGGAAGAAGAATCTCTTCTATGTGAAGAAGAGATTCCAAATTATTCTATTAATTCATAGAAACCATTTTGAGGCTGTGTATGCCTATGTATACTGGATATCTTTGATTTTGATAGGTCAGGTCTTGTCTCCCTCCTATCTTCTTTGCTCCCACGAATTTTTGTAGGTTCTCTGATGCCTATCCTGGATTCGACATTTTGTGGCTACATAGGCAGTTTGACAACACCCCCCTATCCAGCTTGATAACTGATGAAAGACATGGGCTGCTTTACTTTCCCAGCTCCAGCTTTGTGTTTTTATCCCCTCTCTGGCAGAACAGACCTGGGTCTGACCTTGAGTCAGTTTTAGGTGCTGAAAAGGGAACTGTCCTTGTAAAACAGTGAATAATTTTCTCCTGTTTTAGTTCATTGCCTCACTGCAACACAAGGGAAGGATGTGACTACATGGCAAGAAGGGAAGAGCCACCAAAAAGTGGAGAATCAGCCTTCTATGGCAGATGCCAATTACTAGAACAGCCCGGCTTCTACTCCCTCACGCTAGTTCACTTCTCTCTGCACTTTCTTTAGGAGTTTCATTTCTTGGTACATGGATAATGATGAGAGAACAAATCACAAGCCAGTGTCCTGGTTTCAGCTAGGATAGAGTTAATTTTCTTCCTAATAGCTGGTACAGTGCTGTTTTTTGGATTTAGTACTAAAAGAATGTTGGTAACACACTGGTGGTTTAGATGTTGCTGAGCAGGGCTTACACCAGTCAAGGACTTTTCAGCTTCCCATGCTCTGCCAGGTGCACAAGAAGCTGGGAGGAGGCACAGCCAGGACAGCTGACCCAAACTGGCCCAAGGGCTATTCCATACCATCTAATGTCATGGTCAGACAGAGTTAGTGTGGGGGGAGAGCGACTGCTGCTTGGGACAGGTTGGGCATTGGTCAGCGGGTGGTGAGCAACTGGACTGCGCATCACTTGTTTTGTGTATTCTGTATATTCTATCACCATTATTACTATTGTTGTTATTCTTTTCCACTGCTGTTTCATTAAACTGTCCTTACCTCACCCCATGGGTTTTATTTTTTTCCTGATTCTCTCCCCCATCCCACTGAGGGAGGCGGGGAGTGAGCGAGTGGCTGCATGGTGTCCAGCTGCCTGCAGGGTTAAGCCACGACAGTCAGAAAGCAGGGCTGTTGGATCCTCTGTGCCACACTGCTCACTAGATGAGCGAGCCCATTTCTCCACTTCTTCAGCACTATCAAGTGCTTTTAAAAGTCAATGATGAATGGCGCTTTATCTGGTGCTATTGCTATGGACAAGGAGCAATGTTTTATTTTACTAATATGGGAAAACTGCAATGAGTTGACATCTCTCCACTGTTTTGCAACACTGATATTCCAGATGAGCTGTCTTATCATCTGTCTTAGAAGAAAGCCATTCCCCTTCCGTTTGTTTTTCAAGCTACCTTTATTTACTAAACTGTAAACTCCAGAGAAAGACAAACTGAAGAGTTATGCAAACTTTTCAAACCATAAGGAACAAACCAGGGGCATGGGGGAGGTGATTTAGGGGTTCCATGACTGGCAACACCTATTTAAACCTGATCTTGCAAGAGTTACTTTCAGAACATATCAAAGGTCAAATGACTCTCTTGGAGGGTGGCAATCATGACAGACATGTTTACTCCAATCACATCAAAGACGGGAGCCCACCAGCAATTGTTGTCTGTGACTGCCTACACAGAGCTGGCAACAGTGGAGACAGAAGTTACTGGGGTCAGCATCAAAGAGGGAATGATGCCCTATACATGCACGCGCTCTGCTCCAAATGTTTAACACATACCTGACAAGTCACAGCTTTCGATGCGCTTCAGATCTGCATCCACCCAGAAAAGCTTTCCAAGTTTGTTGTCAATCACCAGTGCTACTGGTCGGATCAACCCAGTTGTAAAAAGCACTTCTCTCTCTGTGCCGTCAAGGGCTGCACGCTCAATCTTGGGAGCTCGCTCTTGCATGTTGGTGAAGTACATGTACCTGCGGACAAAGCCACCGGCTGCTTAGCTGAGAGCTTCAGAAGGGAGGGAGGCACCTCTGCACACAGGTGATGAACTGAGAACTCCCTCAGGGAAAAGGCCACCATTTTCTCAGTTGGTGGATAACACGGGCAAACCTCCTAACGCAGTAGGCTACGTTGCTGCATGGCCTTTCGTGACGGCACAAGGAGGAGAGGCAGCAGTCGGAACGTGGAGCCAAGCGAGAGGTGGAGGGAAGGATTTCTGGAACTAAGGCAGAAGAAGTTCCGTACACAGATCACTCATTCAGCTCGCCCAGGTAGTCAGTGTTCAGCATAGTCTCTCCCCTATCTTTTCCTCTTTTGATTTAAAAACCTTATCGCTAAATCATTTGAAAACCTGACTAGAGAAGTTGAGAGTTTGAGAGCTCAACAAACCCAAACTCCCATTTTAACGGAGAAAGCAGATAAGCTTTTATGAATACAAACTATGTCCAAGTGACTTAGTCCCAATAAGATTATCATCTTTCCTCTAATCCCCCTCTCCCCACACCAGCTTTTGAACTGTGCAGAGTACACCGAGTACTGTATAAAATACCAATCCTATAAATGCTTCAGATAGAGTCGCTGGGTACTACTGCATCCACACAGTTACGTGAAATATTGTCATTCGACATCTGTCAAGCACATGGTAAGCAATTTAGCAGTAAATTGGGATTTAAGCCTCTAACTTATTAAAGAGAACAGTAAAGTACCATCTCTGACCTCTAAGAATTTAGCTACTAACCACATGAAGTGGAGATGGGGTCTGCCGAATCTAACCAAAACAGCTTTGCAGCAAACCAACGTATTTTCTCCCTGTGGGAAATCACTCGAGTGCATCCTACCTGTTTTCATTCATTTCAGAAGTTTTTGAGATACACATCAAGGCAGAACTAACTTAAAAATGTACAGAACATAGGGGGTGTGTTTGTTTGTTTAACTTTATACTGTTACATTAGCAGGAATAGCTGTATCATGCACGAGAGCCCTCTTTTTTTTATGGAAACATTTATTTTATGATGATGAGACAAGGGGTAATGGTTTTAAACTAAACCAGGGTAGGTTTAGACTAGATATAAGGAAGAAATTCTTTACAATGAGGGTGGTGAAACCCTGGCAGGGGTTGCCCAGAGAGGGGGTGGAGGCTCCATCCCTGGAAACATTCAAGGCCAGGTTGGACAGGGCTGTGAGCAACCTGATGTGGTTAGCGGTGTCCCTGCTCCTGCAGGGGGGTTGGGCTGGGTGACCTCTAGGGGTCCCTTCCAACCCAAAACATTCTATGATTCTATGATTCTATGACCAAACATTTTATGAACCAGATCCCCAGCTGATATAAAGAGAGTGTAAACCCTCCTGGTTTTTGTCTTAGGTGGCAGGGTTGCGCACTCATGCAGCTGTCCTGGTTTCGGCTGGGATAGAGTTAATTTTCTTCATAGGAGCTGGCATAATGCTGTGGTTTGGATTCAGTACTAGAAGAATGTTGATAACACACTGATGTTTTTAGTTTTTGCCAAGTAGTGCTGAGACTACTCAAGGACTTTTTGAGCTTCTCCTGCTCGGCCAGGTGCATAACAAGCTGGGAGTACAGCACAGCTAGGACAGCCAACCCAAACTGACCAAAGAGCTATTCCATACCATAGAACATCATGCTCGGGGGGGTTAGTCGGTCGGTTGGGGGGAGAGTGATCGCTGCTCGGGGACTGATCGCTGCTCGGGGACTGATCACGGCTCCGGGCGCATCGGTCGGCGGGGGGTGACAATGGCATTGTGCATCATTCGTTTTGTATATTCTGTATATTCTCTTACCATTCTCGTTACTGCTATTATTATTTTCTCTTATTAAACTCTCCCTATCTCAGCCCGCGGTTCTAATCTTTTTTTTTCTTCCTGATTCTCTCCCCCATCCCACTGAAGGAGGGGGGAGTGAGCGAGCGGCTGTGTGGCGCTGAGTTGCCAGCCGAGTTAAACCACGATAGCAGCAAACAGCGTAAGGTGGGTTTGCTGGGCTTTCCCCACCTGGGTTAGTCCCTCTACTATGATCAACCGTATGGGTGGGTGAACATCTAAGTCGGCACACTAGAGGAGGCAGCAAAGGAGAGAACATGAAGAGAAAGCCGGATACCTTTAAAAGCCAGAATGGGACAAGCAGTCATCCTGAGCAATCGAACATGCAAAAAATTCTCCTTTTTAAAATACACAGATGCAACACAAGATTCACGCACGCACAGTGCTATGCACAAGGTACAGAAAGGAACCTCACCCTCGCTCCGCGTTCACTACAATGGCTCTGGGCTTGTCGTGATCCCCTCGCAGCACCATCCCAATGGACTCGCCATTCAGCCTGTGGACATTGACGGAATTTGTGGCCTCACAGGTCCAGTACAAGGTATGGCTGTATATATCGATGCTGAGGTCATGGGGCTGCTTCTCTGGGTTCTGGCTTTGGTTTGGAGTACTCATGACAGTGAAAGGCTGCGAGACAACGTATGAGGAACAATTTCCAGTAATTATTCTGATTATTGATTGAAGAACACTGGTTGCACAGAAAGTACAATTTACCTACCTGACTGTCCAGAAACACCTAAAACCACCCACAAGGAAGCAACAAATACAAGAAATGGAATAAAGCTTATCAAAAAAAGATTTGATTCAAACTGCAGATTAGAGGAAAAACATCTGGACAAAACCTGTAAGATCATGCAAAACCCCCCCGAAAGCACTTGCGGAGCCTCCTATAAGTAGAGTTAATTAGCAGGAGATGGAAGAAAACACTAGTGAATGTTTATGCATGGAACACTCTTGAATGAAACCATGCAAGAACCAAGGCAGCCTTCTGGCCAGACCTGCACAGTTATACAGTCAGCTGAACAAACCTCTCTCTCTTGTCAAAGTCTCCTTACTTTATTATTTGCGGTGTAGTAGATATTGATTTTCTTTAAGTGCTGGCTTCTCTTAAAAACTAAAATCTTTTAATGAAGCTTGGTTCTGTTTGCTTACATGTCGAACGGCTACAGCTCTGTCTCACACCCATACTAACAACCTTACCTTGCTTTCACCCTCATGCCTTTATGATGGACCTTACAAAACTTGACATTATTGCCAAGTTGCTGGAATCATAACCCTCAAGCCCTCCCAATCTAACTAACATACTTTTTAACTCCATGGTGAATACTAACGTAGACTACAATACTTTATTTCTACAAAGAGCACTAGAGCATATATGGGGTTGGACTAGATGACCTCTAGGAGTCCCTTCCAACCCAAAATATTCTATGATTCTATGATATAAAAAAAAAATCTGTAAAGGAAAATAACCTTTCTGTTGTTTGTTTAATGTCACACAGGTTCCACTAGCGTACAGCCAATGCCAGTGCCATTGGGATAGTAATACTGCTGGCAGGACTCCCAACATCAAAGTAGCCTTCAAAGGTGACTGCTTCTGGTGACATGATAACGGTGAGGGGAAAGCAGTGGCTTCCTTAAGTATCCTAATGTGGCGCTCCCAATCCAAACGCAAAAACGGTACCAGAAAAAATTCATATGGGTCAAGAAAGCTGAAGACACCATTCCATGCTCAGCTTAAGTCAAATGAATTACCCAACACTGCATTACTCGTGAAGGTCATATTTCCACAATTTGGTTTTAAGCCTCCAAGTTCTGCATAGTCATATACAGGCTTTTTTCTTTTTATGTAAAGCTTTATCCCTATTTTGTCTTGACTAGAAACAAAAAAATAATTATTTTCCCAAAATCAAAGGTAACATTACCCAGGTATGAAATTCATATGCATCATCTGCAAACAGCATGATTTAGCAAAATTAAGTAAATATGGTTAGTGAAAATTGGAAAAATCAAAATTTGCAGGGGATTTGCATCTTCAAAGCTGTGTGACCAAGATAGAGGAATACACAGAGCAAATGAATCTCCATTGCAATTTGCACCTGGCAAGTGCCAAAGAGAAGCTAGACTACAACAATTAGCACCTAGCACAATCCCAGGAAGCAAGAGCAAAACTTCTTCAAAATTCATCCACAACCCAGCTAGCATCTCATCCCAACATACCTCCTCCCAATCTTAAAAGAAATGGCCAAAAAATAAAATTGTCATCTCTTCCTTTAAAGGAAACCGTAAAACCTCTGAGTCCTTAGATGCATGAAGAGACCAGTGCATTTCAACTGATATCATGTCATATTGTTTAGATACAACTGCCCAAGAACTAGGGAAATGTAACTTGGCCATTCTCCATTTTATTTTATATTCTTATTCAAAACACAGTTTTTAAAGAATCTGTTACCTTGACCTGGGAGTGAAGCTATGTTAACACGTAACACTGCCTGGAAGAGCAGTACACTTCTTTCTGTGGTTGTGTGAGTAACCAGTGCAAAATAATCAAGCACATGGATTAGCCTATCCCTATTTGTCACAGCAATCAACTCTACATTCACAGAACCACAGAAGCACAGGATGGCAAGGGTTGGAAGGGACCTCAGGAGATCATCCAGTCCACCCCCCCTGCTTGAGCAGGCTCACCCAGAGCAGGGTGCACAGGACATCGTCCAGGAGGGCTTTAAATATCTCCAGAGAAGGAGACTCCACAGCCCCCCTGGGCAGCCTGGGCCAGGGCTCGGGCACCCTCAAAGTAAAGAAGTTCTTCCTCATATTCAACTGAAACCTCTTATGTTTCGGTTTGTGCCCATTGGCCCTTGTCCTGCCGCTGGGCCCCACTGACACATTGATGAGGTCCCCTCTCATTCTCTTCTCCAGGCTGAACAAGCCCAGCTCCCTCAGCCTTTCCTCATAGGAGAGATGCTCCAGTCCCTTTATCATCCTAGTTGCTCTCCTCTAGGAGTTCCTCATCTTTCTTGAACCGGGGAGCCCAGAACTGGACACAGTGCTCCAGGTGGGGTCTCACCAGGATTCACTCAGGGTTTAACTACAGCTTGAATAGCCGAGAGTTTTCATTCTGAGAGAGCTTTACAATGATGCCAATAGTATCACACAATTAGCATGCGCAATATTGATTTCAGGATACGATTTATCTGTCCTGAGTATAAATAGTGAGTCTGCCCTACTTCAGTGCCCATCCTTAACTAAAGATTGCAATTCAAGGCTTATAGTTTCAGATACATATGATGTACTATATTCTATAACACTTCTTTTGTGTATAAATTAAAATCACGATCCTAAAAGCCTTCAGTAATTTTCACATATAAACAGAATAAACATGAACAAGTGCTGGCAAGAGTAAAATTTAAACTAATGATTCCTTGATGCAGGGGACGGAAGGGGAAGGTCAAAGCACAAAGGTACAAAGCACAAAAAAAGCCTGACACAAAACCACATACACCATGTAAACTTGCCTGAGTGCCATCATCCTTGGCTCTTTTTATAATATTCTGACGTCCATCCACCCAGTAGATCAATTTATCTAAGGGATCATAATCAATAGCCTTGACATTCCTTAGACCATGCATAGGCAGGATGATATCTGGACTTTGCTGATCATCTGGTATCATCCGGCTGATTGCAGATTTCTGGCTAAACAACAGGAAGCTGGCAGGGGCTGGAACAAGGCAAACCAGAATGCGTAAGAAAATGCAACTCACCCTGTCAAAAATACACCCCCACAGAAGACAAAGAATAGTTAGGACAAAATCACAGAGACACAATTATATTCACAACGAAAAGTAAGGTAATTAATAATTGGAGATTTTTACTATTAAGTTGAAAACGTTTTGTGTACTTCTGGAGGGTAAATGTGCACAACCGCACCCAGAAAGTCTTTTATTTTCATATTATAAAATAACTATGTTCCCCATGTGGAATTTAAGTAACTCCAGTGACAGCGGGCAATACACAGTCACAGGTTTTCCTACATTATCATAGAATCATCAAATCGTTCAGGTTGGAAAAGACCTTTAAGATCATTAAGCCCAACTGTTAACCTAACACTGCCAAATCCACCACTAAACCACACACCTAAGTGCCACTAAGTACACATCTTTTAAATACCTCCAGGGATGGGGACTCAACCGATGCTTGACAATGTTTTGAAATTTTGAGAATTTTTCTAATATCCAATCTAAACCCTCCTTGACACAACTTGAGGCTGTTTCCTCTTGTCCTATTGGTAGTACTTGGAAGAAGAGACCAACACCCACCTGGCTACAACCTCCCTTCAGGTAGTTGTAGAGGGCGATAAGCTCTCCCCTCAGCCTTCTCTTCTCTAGACTAAACAACCCCAGTTTCCTCAGCTGCTCCCCATCAGACTTGTGCTCCAGACCCTTCACCGGCTTCATTGCCCTTTTCTGGACACGCTCCAGCACATCAGTGTCTTTCCTGTAGTGAGGGGCCCAAAACTGCACACAGTATTTGAGGTGCAGCCTCACCAGTGCCGAGTACAAAGGGACCATCACTTCCCTAGTCCCACTGGCCATGCTGTTTCTGATACAAGCCAGGATGATTTTGGCCTTCTTGGCCACTTAGGCACCCTGCCAGCTCACATTTAGCCAACTGTCAACCAACACCTCAGGTCCTTTTCCACTGGGCAGCCTTCCAGCAAGTCATCCCCAAGCCTATAGCATTGCATAGGGTTGTTGTGACCCAAGTGCAGGACTCAGCACTGAGCCTTATAGAATCTCATAAAATTGGCCTTAGCCCATCAAGCCAGCCTGTCCAGGTCCCTCTGAAGAGCCTTTCTACCCTCCAGCAGATCGGGACTCTTGCCCAGCTTGGTGTGGTCTGCAAGCTTATTGAGGGTGCACTTGATCCCCTTGTCCAGATCATTGATAAATATATTAAAGAGAACTGGCCCCAACACTGAGCTCTGGGGAACACCACTTGTGACCAGCTGCCACCTGGATTTAACTCCATTCACCACAATAGTTTGAGCCCAGCCATCCAGCCAGATTTTCACCCAGCAAAGAGCACGCCTGTCCAAGCCATGAGAAACCAGTTTCTCCAGGAGAATGCTGTGGGAAACAGCATCAAAGGCTTTACTAAAGTGCAGATAGATAACATCCACAGCCTTTCCCTCGTCCACTAGGTGGGTCATCTTGTCATAGAAGGAGATCAGGTTAGTGAAGCAGGACCTGCCTTTCATAAACCAATCCTTTCATCCAGTTAAAATTTCCTTACATGCTACTGTGCCGGGAAGCCCGAAGCTTTGTTGGTTTATTTTTTTTAAGTCAACAGTCCATTTTCTATTCATCTGATATTTTTACTAGAAACTTAAATTCTTATTGGACAACCAGTGAACTGGCAGGCTCATCGCATGCAGGGGGAAGCCAAACATTTGAACTTCAAGTGCATTTGCACGTTGCGCAGACTACTTAGGAGTCCATTTTACTGGATGTTATTTTTGCTGACTTTATTAAACACTTGAGAGAAAAAGACATTTTTTGTTCAGAATTTTTCTTCCACCCACCTACACACTTAGGTAAGGTCTGGGAAAGCTTCACTAGAAAGCTAGAATTACCCAGAAAGCACTTTTAGTAAAACAAGAAAGAACAGACTTGACAGTGCTGTTATTTCTAAGATTTGAAATATAAATCTTTAGCCCTAATTCATGTCACAAAAATGGACATAAAACTCCATACTTTGTCCTCATATTTTAAAATCACCTTTAAAACCTTTGAAATGCACTTGTGATATCCTTTCCCTTTCTACACTGAAAGGGACCACAAGGACCTGGGAGCCACAAGCCCTGAAGAATATAGTAGGAAACAAAAAGGCTTACAACTACAGTTCCTGCTGTTAGGATCCAAGGTATAATGAGCAGCACAGCCACACCTAAATCCATTTGGTATGGCAAGGCACAAGTGACCACAATGGCCATTATTTTGCACACAATCGTTCAAGCCATCCTGACGTGAAGAATGGAAGACCAATATATCCATCACAAAATCCAGATGGCCCTGAATAAGCGTCCTGTTCTTCCCACTGGTCTTGTCTGCTCTTTCTATGCTGTGAAGATTCCAGTCTGTCCAGTAGATGTAGTCACTGTATTGGGTTAATCCGAATGGATGAGGTAGATCATCTGCTATGATTTCCCGTTCTTGTCCTGCAAAAATAAGGACAATCAAGTAAAGGACAATTCTCAAATCATGAAATTAAGAGTGTAACTGGCATCAGGAAAAAGTTTTTTCTTCCCTTTTTAAAATAAAACCTTGTTTCCCAAGTCAGCATCATGGGGTTCAGTATTAGGCTCGAGAGGTAACCTAAACACTTGCATTCAAAAACCTTATCCTGATACCCTCTTGCCTATAGAGCAATTTGAAACTGTGCTAGTGTATTGTCATTTAAATCAATACTACTCTAGGCGTCTCATGCTTATCATCCCAAATAGGTATTGGAAAACGTATTCAAGAATGCTATCAGCTCCAGGAAGCACTTAGGCCAATAAAAACACCAGTTAATATGCACAAATGCAACAACATACAACAAACTTGAGATTCATAGAGAAACATCTATGAGAAATTACGGTGTTTCAGTCAAGAAGCACAAATCTTTTGCAGTGCAGTTTAACACACAGTTACCCCAAGAGATTAGGAAACCATTTGTTTGGCAGAAATCCCAATACTCCCACACTCAGTGGCTCAGTTAGCAACATTCACAAGACATTTAACACCTTCTAGAGCATTAGATGGCCTCTGCCAGAGAGGCACTACTAAAGTAGATAAAGTCTTATCGTACATCACCTTCCTAAACATTTTCAAGCATAAACCTCTATGAACGTCTGCCACTTTACACCAAATGAAGATGTAGCCTTCATTAGCATCATCTCCTCCTGCCTCAAACAAACGTCCAACGTTAGATGCTACAGGACACCTAATTATTCTTTCCCTGCCCTACTTTCCATCATGCCCTCTCCCATTTGGCCAAGACTGGAGAAAGAATGAAAAACCCCAAAACTAGAACATGCAGCCATTTCCCTATAAACCACCAAAACTAAATACAGAGGCAACCTTAGAATCATAGAATCACTTTGGTTGGAAAAGACCTTTGAGATCATCGAGTCCAATCTTTCCCAACTTCTTTTAGACGTCTATCTAAAGTGTCCAAGTCAGGGGCACAGATACGCTGCATACTCTCAGGTACTTTAACTTAGAGCAATTCTGGTCCACAGTTATGAATTCAGGGGATAGGCTCTTTTGAAGGAAGCAGATAAGCTAAATGAATTTTGATAGTTGATAGATGGAGGAAAATCTCCCAAGAGAGTGATTTTTTTCCTGCTGGGCAACGTTTATAATGCCCAAAATTAAGCTGGGACAGCATTAATTCACCCACTTAAGAGTGCTTTATTATTTATGGTGGGATAGACGTTTCTATCAGCAACACTCATTCAGACCTCTCCTGGCAAGGAGACCAGCACTGCATAACGCAGGCCAAGTCTAATAGCATTTCCTTAACCGATGAGCCCACTTGCTAGAAGTCTACCCGAGTCTTTAGAATCTGCTAACTAAAAAGAGAAAAGACATCATACAACATTGTTAGCTTCAGCACTCATCCTTCAACCTTCGTACCATGAATAAATGTTAACAGTAGGTTCAGCTTTAGAACCAGCTTAATTTACCACAAATTATTTCAGTATTTCTTCTCAATGCCACAATCAGTTTCTAGCTCAAGCTTGCCTCTGGCTATTTTGTTTCTCTAAGAATAATGCCGAAACTTAGCGAGAGTTTTGATAGATCATGCACTCTGGATGGAAAAAAACCCACTCTAGCTAAAGAATCAATCCTACTGCAATTTCTGAACAGTAACATCTGTTCAGCCGTTGTCATCCCAAAGCAACAAATACAAGAAATGCAAAATCAGTGGATAGCCTTGGAACCCAAAACTGCATCTCTCTCTCTGTTTTCCTGGCCTTAGTAGATTCTCTATACTCTGAAGATATGCACACACAATTCCACCTCAAAAAAAACCCCCAACCCACCTCACTCTAATGGTAGCTTTTCACAGATTAAAACAAACATACAAAAAAGAGTTGCAGGGAAATTATGTATGTTATAAATCAGAGCACTGCTGTAACAATCCTGTATGAGTTTGCTTAAATACCATATGTTCTGCGACATAAACTTTGATTTCTATATTGGAATCCCAGAGGAATTAATTCCCATCTCACAAAAGCCTCTCCTTGGAAATGGAACAGGGATAGGATGTCAGGTCAGGAGCTTCTGGATTCCATTTTGGATTCTATCATTGATTCACTGTGTGCATTTGGAAACTTACATAAACTGTTTTCTCAAAAAGGAATTCATATCTGCCTCGGCTAAAACCTTGAAGACCTTTTACTTACATTACAAAACATCTGGACCATACAAAAGCTCTATGTCAGCTGCAGAAAATAAAACTCCCTTCTTTTATCCAGTAGTTATCATGTCGATACCAATGTGAAAGTTTAAGTAAATCTTAGCACACCCTTTACATATATAAATGAAATTCCAATGGAAGATATAAAAATGTGAAGCAGCTGCGTAACCTTTCAGACTGTAGGAAATGCGGCAGTATTTTGGTTTTGAACTAATGCAACTCGACTGAAGCTGGAAACAGAGGTAATGCTTCAACAGAAAATTAGTATCCAGACTGAAAAGTCAGGGGTGGCTTACAGTGAACCTGTAAGTTGTCCTCACTTTCAGAAACTCAGGGGTCATCTCTGCTTTGCTAAAACACAGGCAGGTTCATATCAATACAGAGAAATGACATCATATCTCACCATCACTATAAATCATTGTATGGTTATTAATTTAGGAAGCTTTTTTTTAATGTCCTTAAACATTTAACTCTCCGTTTCCTCTCATAAGAAAAATATACACACAGATTTAATATGAATTATATTATTACAATTTCATATTATTCAATTGCTTTACTATGGTCAGCGCCTATTTCTGTATCGCTGGTGTAACATAACACGAGATTACCTAGCATATTTGATGATTCAATCATGCTTGTGTCTAAGTCAGTCCAATATAGCCTTTGGTCAGCGTAATCAATAGTGAGGTCATTGGCACGACCCACTTTATCCACCAAAGTGATGCTGTTTGTTCCGTCCATATATGCTCGAACAATCCTAGGTTTACCTCCCCATTCAGTCCAGTACATGTATCTGCGATGCAAAATGGAACAAAAAGAGAACATCAGCTAGGTAAGATTATGTTTAGCTGTACGCTTTGATTTTTCTAAATTTATTTTCAGCTCTTTAAAAAAAAAAGGAATAACCTGTGTGGTTTTGTGCAGTATTACAGTACTCCCTTTTTAGACAAAGGCAGAAAAATATGATTGACAGTTCTTAATATTTCACTGTAACCCATCGGGTTGTGGAGCATTTATTGTCTTTTCAATTAACTTCTCATGTACAAGAATATGCACAAAAAGCTTTGAAAAACAACACTGTCTCTTACCCTTTTGTAGGATCAAGAGCCAGAGACCTTGGGTTGTCCAAGTCCTTCCACACAAGGACCTGCCTATACTGTCCATCCAGGCGGGCTACTTCAATGCGATTGGTTCCAGTATCAGCCCAGTAGAGGTTCTTCCCCATCCAGTCTACAGCCATTCCCTCAGGATAATCTAGCCCAAACTCAACCACATGTTCAACAGAGCTCCCATTCATGAAAGCTCGGCTTATGGTCTGGAAAACAATTGTGTGAAAATATTACAGCCTTTACGGATACCCCACTGATATAAAAAGAAGTAATTATTATGAAGTTAATATACAAAAAGAAATCAGTAAAAAAAAAAAATCAGCCAGCGTTACGTTTTTAAAAATCAGTTTCTGTTGTCAAAAGAGATGTAGCAATTCACGGGATAAGACCTGAATTTTCAGAAAGCTAGTGGTTTCTGATGACCAGTCCAGGAGGTTATGGTTTTCAGTCTTAAAAGGTTTTTTCAGTCTTAAAAGGTCTTTTCAGTCTTAAGAGGTTATGGTTCTCAGAAAGCACTATGTATCTGCAGATTCTTCCTTGCCCCTTCCTCTTCTCTTCTATTTGCACACACAAAAATTTTTTTTTTAATTACTTAATTCACTGTAATGTTTTAAGTCTCAGAAGCACATCTCAATTCAGAGAAATGCAAATTAAATTGTTTCTCATGATCAGCAAGTTTGCTAATTCCATCTACATTTTAGCGATGCACACTCAACAAACCAAGTCATAGGGCAAGGACTGCGCACATATAAATAAACCACTCCTAAGAAGAAGCACTGAAACAACCCCCAGGTAAATCACTGGTAACTTCCAGGACCAATGTACAATTACCCACCCTTGTTATCAACACTAAGCAATCATTCTACATGCCTGCTAATATTTCAGCTATTAATTTCTTTATAATTTGATAAATGAACGTATCAGGGTAAGAGACATTTTCTATTTTTAAAGGTGTGTTTTTACAGGTATAACCCACATCTCAGAAGAAGTATAATCCCTTTTTGAAAGTGAGTCCTCATCTAACCAGAGGCAGGAGGAGATCAGGGAAGTGGTGGTCACCAAAGGACAGGGAGATGACTATGGGCTCTGAAGGTACGCTACCTGCTGCTACGCTGCAGGAGGTGGGGTGACAAGGGGGATGAAAACCCAGACATGCCGAAACATACGCTGGTATGTATGTGAAAATACAGTGTGCTGGATAATTCAGGAGGCCACTAACACGTAAAAGGTTTTCCAGTTCTGTGTAGACTGGGACTGGGACCTATGCATGGACACAGTTGAAGTAATGTATTTTCCACCACAAATGGGTAAGACGGCCATAGCTCCAGCTCTCCACGTGCTTCTGTGAGATTTATTTAGTAACTGTGTCTGCAGTATGCTAATTTATTACATTGGCACCATTCCTGACAGAAAGGTATCCACGCCACAAGCAGCACTGTTAACGCTGAAGCACAACCCTCCATAATCTTCACACAGAGGCTATGGAAACTGCACGTGCCCTGCAGTCACTAAAAGCGAGCTTTTCCCTATTACGGCTTAGGCACATTGGCAAGGAAACTTTGATTGCTCTTGGAAGACCTATTAAGAGGCTAAACAGAGGAATTCAGTTCCAGCAAAGTCTATCTGTCATTTTCTACCATTACTTAATTCACTTCAAAAAGCAAAGTAACACTGAGCAACAGCACAATACTCACTTTAGCATGTACCTGGATGTGAACCAAACATGTCACGGGAAATGTCAAACTCCCGGGAAACACACTGAGATAGAACTGGGGGCAGGTGGGGACTTAACACAGTGTGGAGGGGACTGGACAAGTTCCCTGGCCTTTCTGTGCCAAGCTGGAGCCACAGACAATCCAAAGTTCAGTTGCCAAATGTTAATGTTGAGTAAGATTGCCTTCCAAGTCAAAACTGGAAGAAGATAGAAAGCTCGGGGTTGCCAAGTTCGATGTTTAAAGTACTCTATTATGTGACATGAAAACAGTTTTTCTACAATAGACACATATATGGATGCAACACATGCAGCATCCAGGACTTAGGCATTTGGTATGAGCAGGCCCTACTTTGGATTTTTATTTGAAGCAGGAAGATGCCTGTCACCCAGCTGTGCATTCAACAATGCAACTGTCTTCATCTCCAAGAGTCTCCCTGGATGCAATTCAACGGCAACATTAACAACTGCATGACAGATCATGTAACAGAGGCCTTTGTAAGATCAAAGTAACTGCTCTGTGGCTTTATATTTGGGGAATTCACATGTCAGTAATACCTTTAAACTAACATCAGTCCAATAGATTCTGTTATCAGAGACATCAAAATCCAGAGCGGATGCTTCCTTGACTCCAGTAAGAGGAATAGCAACATCATTATTATTGGTTTCAAGGGAAATCCTATGAATTGCTGCTCTGCTTGTGAAAACTAAGAAGGCTTCAGGAATGATGCAAGTCTTCATGTCACTCAACAGCTCAAGGCCAATGGGACAGGCACACCTGGTCTCCTGGGGTGTAAAGAAACACAGATGGCTGCAGCCTCCGTTGTTCTCTGCACATGAATTAGTTCCTTAAAAAAAACGAAAACAAAACAGGTATTGGTGCATTGTGGAGGTAGGGGGGAAAGGGGATGGGGGAGCTGAACAGAAACACAGCATAATTACGGGTTGTCAACAGGGAATTCTACAAAAAACCCATTTGAAACTGTCTCCTTTCTTCTAGGAGGCTAGTCCTATTAGGAAGCTGGTCCTATCCCTCCTATAGTACAAATAACAGCTACAAACATATCCTTCTAGTTTCCTCAAAGATTAAATTCCTTCACTGAAGGCAGGTAACCACATACATGTTCAGCTTGGTTATTTTTGGCCACGTCCCCCATCCTCGTATGTCTTTGAAACCACCAGTTCTACAAATGTTCCATGATACAAAACAATGAGAAAAGAGCTGGATAACTGCAGTTCTTTCCCAGCTGTGCAATTCAACGCTGAGAAGACTCATTAGCAGAAGCAGTTCCAACAAGATCACCACAGTTTCACACTTATTTTTTCGTGTGAACAGCCATGACCATACGGGGAGGGAATGTGGAAAGTAAGAACCAAAAGATAAAATGAGTGACTTTCTCCATCTGCTGGAACCGAGGATTAAGGTATTGAAAGACTGTTACCACAAAAAAAAAAATCTCCAAGGCCAGTGTCAACCAAGTTTCTTTTCATTTTCCCTTTTAGGGCATACATATTTCAGACTGATGCTGGAACTTGCAGCTTGAGGACTTGATTATCCTGCTTCCTGAAAGGCTGGAAATCCATGTACTGGCAGGGTGTAATCTGACAACCTACTTCACGTGATTCTGTTGCGACTATTCTCAGTAATTCTAATAGCTGACCAACAAATCTGTTTACTGCTATGCCCAGGCTCTAGTGTTCCAGGTAGTAGACAGACCTGCGGTGAACACGCACCTCTCATGAGATACTACTGAAGCCAGGAGGTCTTGCAACATACTCCTCTGTGGAATGCTAGCAATGGACCTAAAACACTGGCTGCACTTTTCAGCAGATGCAGTGGAAGAATATGGAGCTCCAGCTACTGATCCCATGCTAAGGGCAAGATTTAATTGTTAAGATTTAAGCACAATTTAGGTGTTAAAGTTAATAGTTAAGTGCCATGTGCTTTGAGGCAACGTTCCACCTGGCATAGTAAAAAGTATTCTGCCAGCTGAACATCACTGGACATTCTGTGAGCACCAGAAGTAACGATCCCAATAGACTGTGGAGGCAGGAATAAAATTCTCCTCACAAAAATTCAAGGAATGTAGTGGAAGCTGTGGAAGACTTATGTCAAATGCCACTGAAAACTGGAAGCCCGTACGTATTTTGCAACACCGTATTTTCCCAACTTTACAAACAACAGGTGCAGTTTTCCTTTAAAATCAGTCAAATGTATGAGACCACAGTAATTCTCATTACATGTGATCAACAGTTGCTTAATGAAAGCAAGCCCATCTAGAAACTACTATAGATCCATCCTATGGTTGCTCATGCTTACCAAACACTTTGGTAACACTTGTTGCTTTAAGGCCCATTAAATCTGGCAGCTGATCAATAATGATGTCTCTGCTAGCCTTTATCTTGTGAACTCTTTCAATGCTTCGTCTCTGCCAGTCAGTCCAGTAGATGTAATCTCCCAGCAGCGTGAACCCAAATATATGTGGAAGCTTATCTTCTAGGAGGGTTTTCCTCATTGTTCCATCAACATTTATGACCTGTGTGATGCACAAGAAAAAAAAGGAAACAATCATCTTCTCTAATGTGGATCCAATTAAAATGGCAATATCAATCATATTTTGACAACTCCTCTGTTTTTACACAAGAACTTCCTGAAATTCACAGCATGCTTCTTTCAAAAGAACTACCTCTAGGTTTGTTGAAAGAGAAATATATTGGAATGACAAGACTGAAAGTGGCTTATTGCACCCCTTCTCCATTGACAAACCTAAGCAACATTAATTTAACTCGCGTCAGTTCGAACCTGCAAAGACCACCACAAAAGGAGTGGTTTTGGGGATGGAAGTGAGGTTCGGGAGATTTTTAATCTCTGCTCGTGTCTTGGTCTCACTACTGGACTCTCTCCCCAGAAACAAGGAATTGCTAGAGTGACCTTCAGCACTCAATCACAGGGAACAGAGGCCATCAGAATTCTTTCAGGGCAGAACAAGGCCATGTAGAATCTGCACGTTCAGAAATTTCATTTTTTTACCATGAAAGAATGAAGTTTTTCTCACTCTTGCGATAAGCAAGATCTTCAATATGCGGAATAAGTACGAACTTATATAAAATTGTATTCCTAAAACTGCAGAGAAAGCAAAAGCATTGGAGATGAGATAAGCCCCACAGATACATATATATATATATATATATATATGCTATTGGTTAATTATTTCATAACCAATTACTACAATGATCTCACGCTACCCCATTTGCTTGACATAAGGGAAGGGATTCATATAGTTTGACCCCGATCAATAATCACTGGGCAAGATAGGAAATTAAAATGCCCACACACCTCCATCTACCACGCAAGCTACAATAATCTTTTCAATCATCCAGACATCTATTACCCATGGCCAAGAGCGTATGTTTAGAAGACCCAGGCAAAATACTTATCCGACAAATCCCCAGATTCTTCCTCATGCTACTTCTTACAATTGGTAGCTGCAATGTAACTACAACATTTTTAAGGTGCTACTTGAAAATTTATACTGTAAGCAGCATAAGTTCAGTATCATATTGAAACCAAAAGACCACAATTTAAGACAATTTATTTTCCAATGCGATTCAATCAAATCTCCATTTGTTGCTAGAAATGCTTCGCAGGTGGACAACTGCTGTTCTTTAATTTAGGCTACCATGGCTCATGATTGAGGTTTTAGTCTCCTCTTTACTATTACTTTTGTTTTATTCAGTCTCAAAATACTAAACCTGTACCTTGCAGGTGATTAAGTTGTCTTCACCATGCAACACTTCTCTTTTGTGATTTAAAGACAGCTATGGTCATTTCAATGTTTTATTCCCCCAAATTTTAAATTGCTACGTGTTTAAGCAATATTTATTTCTTATTTAAAACTGTCTGTAACTTATATGCAATGTAATATTAAACCATTAAATGCCTAGCGATATTGTGGGCAGTCAAAAATCAACCATCAGTTTAATCACAATTTAATACAGATATTATAAAACAGTAAGTTGTAAGGCTCTGTCCATAAATGGTAAGCAGCAGAAGCACCTACAATTTATTTTTTTAACATGACCAGTGACAATCACCATATCTTACTAAATTAGCATGTGAATCTCAGGATGTTCACACACACCCATGGTAGATATCCAACTAAATTAAAGAACGAAATCTCCACTTTGAAACCTTATAATACTTTACAACTCGTGAAAACAACATGTGTTTCTTCTGTGACACAGCTAATTCGGGCACATTTCCCCTTTAGAGAAACATAAATAAGATGTGGCCACCAATTTTACTATATGAATTTTATCTGAAAAAGCCTGTTAAGTGCTATCACACTGTATTGGGTTTGCATGGCAAGGTTGGCGTGGGGGACGACGACATTGAGCCATTGAGCGACAGTGGTTGTGCCTCTGCGTTAATATATTTAAGAAGGGGAAAAAGAGAAACTGCTGGGCAGCAGCAGCTGGAGAGAGGAGTGACAATATATGGGAGAAACAACTCTGCGAACACCAAAGTTGGTGAAGAAGGAGGGGGAAGAGGTGCTCCCGGCACTGGAGCAGAGATTCCCCTGTAGCCTGCGGAGGTTAATGGTGGAGCAGATATCCACCTGCAGCCCAGGGAAAACCCCACATTGGAGCAGGTGGATGTGCCCAAAGGAGGCTGTGACCCCATGGAGTGCTCATGCTGGCAGGACCTGTGACCCTGTGAAGAGAGAAGCCCAGGATGGAGCAGGTTTGCTGGCAGGGCTTGTGACCCCATGGGGAAACCAAACTGAAGCAGTCTATTCCCGAAGGACTGCATCCTGTGGAAAGGACCCACACTGGAGCAGTTAATGAAGAACTGCAGCCCGTGGGAAGGACTCATGTTGGAGAAATTAGTGGAGGACTGTCTCCTGTGGGAGGGACCCCAGGCTGGAGCAGGGTTAGAGTGTGAGGAGTCCTCCCCCTGAGGAGGAAAGAGCAGCAGAGGCAACGTATGATGAACCGACCGCAACCCTTATTCCCAGTCCCCCTGTGCCGCTGTAGGGGGAGGAGGTAGAGAAAACTGGGAGTGAAGTTGAGTCCAGGAAGAAGGGAGGAGTGGGGGAGAAAGTGTTTTAAGATTTTTCATTAAGATCATTACCCTACTCTGATTTGATTGACAATAAATTAAATTAATTTCTTCGAGTTGAGTCTGTTTTGCCCGTGACAGTAATCGGTGAGGGATCTCTCCCTGTCCTTATCTCGACCCATGAGCCTTTCATTATATTTTCTCTCCCCTGTCCAGCTGAGGAGGAGGAGTGATAGAGCAGCTTGGTGGGCACCTGGAGTCCAGCCAAGGTCAACCCACCGCACACATGGGACACGCACTGGATCTCCCAGCCACCACCAGCCAAACAGCGGAGGTGACCAGTCAACTACTGCATCCTATTTACCTATGTTATACACAAAACCCATCACGATAAACCAGCAATGCTAGAGTGCAGACGTCTTTGACTGCAGAGGAAAATAACTTCATGAGAACTTTAAGATTTTCTAGCAGCTTGTGTGAATTTGAACACATCCTACAATGCAAACCTCTGGACTCCTTCCAGACAAAAA